CTGAATTGGTTTTTATAAGAAGTTACAAGTACAGGAAATTAAATTAAAATTCAATTGGTAAATACCACTTAAATGTTCAGCGCTTGCGCAATTTAATACAAATGACCACTTGTTTCTATTGGCAATTTTCTTACTGGAAAATACCAATAGATAAACTAATGGTCTGAATTGGTATTTTATCGGTGTGTAGGTACAAGGAACCCTATTGGTATATACCACTTTAATATTTATTTTCAAAATTCGCCAATAGGTAGGCAACCCATACATACCTCTCGCCTCTGTAGCACAATACATAGGCCTATAAAGGTGGAATGCCTTGAACTGCTAAGTAAGGATTCCTTACTAAGGCAAAATTACTGGCCATGGAAACGCTTGGCGTTTTGGAATTTTTAAAGGGGCACAGGTCGTCCTGTGGCCCACTCTGCGAAAAGTAAGCAGTGGGCTCCACTACTTACTTTTAGCAGAAGCTATTTATAAAATTTAAATTAAATGTTAAACAGCACTATTTTTGAGAAATTATTTAACCATCAAAACACGTAATTTTTTACCTTAAAGACGTCTAAAATGGATAGTGGGGACCAATTCAAACCAATAACCTCTGGAAAATCCAAATAGCTCTATTGGGAATTACCAATAAAATATATCTATAATATATCTATTGGGAATTACCAATAAAATACGATTAGTCTCTATCGGTCTGTATTGGGATTTTCCAGCGGTGTCGCTATTGGTTTGAATTGGTAATTCATGGTACAGATACCACTATTGAGACCAATTCAAACCAATAGAGCTGCCGCTGGAAAATCCCAATAGCTTTTCTATTGGTCTTTATGGGTGATTTTTAACAGGGTTTATACATAAAAAATACATTGCATTGTTTTCAAAAAATCGGACGAAATCCGCTTGACAGTGACAGAAAATTAACCTGTGTCAAAGTCACGTGGTGGGACTTTGATGTGTGAAGCATAGTACATAAATAACTATTCTTAGTGGTTATCCATGTCATTATAAGAATGCACTGTCAAAATTGGGTTGACGAATTAGGACATGTCAAATGTCAAATTGCCATAACTTAAGAAGAACTAAAAATCCAAAAATAGTATTATCGACCTATCCAAACCCCGTCCAGGTAATTTTTATCTTTTGCAGTTTAAAGGTAACAATTGTTTTGGAAATAACTTAAGTTAAACATATAGAATTTTTAAATTGTTTGCACTTAATAAGAAAGTAATACTTCTAAAAAAAATAAAATAGGGAAATTATTTTTTATACCAATAAGTTATTATTGGCAATAACTATAATTGATGAGCAGACTTGCAAGATGCATTTTGCCAATAACACAACTATCTTTTAACCTTCTAGTACAGGAATATGAAATATGCAATAACTAAATTTTTGCTTTGCCAACTTGTAAGGACATGAAAGGTTGGGTTGACATAACCAAAATTTGTTCAATGAATAAATATTTTTATAAAAATTTACGTCATCATCACACCCTATGATAAAAGGAATTATAGATCACATTTTAGCTGCATAACAAATACAAACTTTAAATATCAAAGTATCCAAATAACAAAACAAATTTATAATAAAAAATTACACTTCTCACAAGCAAATTGCGTATGATTTAATAAATTAATATTATTATAACCATGATATATGTGTATATACATTTTTAAACAAAATTTATCGGCCTATAGGTTTTTTAAATATATATATGGTTTAATTTAATATAATTTGCGTGTCACTTATTTAAACTATATATAAACTACTTCAGAACATAACCAAATGAGTGTTTAACTATTTATATTATTTATTAAATTTGATTAAATTTTAAGTTTATTTAAATTATAGTTCCAAAAAAATAGTTAACTTATAACTTATAAGTTAATAAAATATGTTATTATGGGTTGTAGTCATAAATTAGGTAATTTAAATTTAAATGTAAATAAAAAACTTTACATTAATGGATCTGAACTCCAAAGAGTAGATAGCTTTAAATATTTGGGTGTAATGTTAGACAAAAACTTAAATTTTAAAAACCACATAGATTATATTATGAATAAAATAGCTAAGAAAATATATTTTTTAAGTAGAGTAGGTAAGAGTTTATCAATGTATGTAAAGTTATTAATATATAAATCCATAATAGCCCCCCATTTTAATTTCTGTTCAAGTATTATGTTTGAAATAAATCAAAATGAAAATCAAAAGCTACAGAAGTTACAAAATAAGGCAATGCGTATAATTCTAAAATGTAATCGTTACACACCCATTAATGTTATGTTAGATACTTTAAGTTTATTGAATGTCAAACAATGTATTGTGTTTAATTCTATGTTATTTATTTATAAACTAAAAATTGGAGCTTTACCAGATTATTTAAACAATAGACTGGTCAGGGTAGAGAGTATTCATGAGCATCAAACAAGAAATGCTCAAAACTTTTATATAGAAAAATATAATCGAGTCCAGACTACTAAAAATATTTTTGTTAATGGGCTAAACATGTTCAATAATCTGCCAAATAATGTTAAAAACTGTGATAAAATAAATAGGTTTAAGTCTTTATTGCTGAGTTACATACACAGTCATATTTATTAATTGTGTATATTTTTATATGTTTTGTAAAATAGCTTATGCTAAATAAAGATTATTATTATTATTATTATTATTATAAGAACAAAAATACGAATACAGCCATTAAAGATTTTTTAAATAAGTATATTTTTACACTATAGATTAAAATAATTATAATTATATTATTATTAATATATTATAATAATATTATTATAATCATTTCATAAATATTATTATCTATGTAAGTCAGTTACTTTTCGCTTCTTAAGATGCCAATTACTAAAGCACTTTTTGTTTTGTTTTGGTGCTGGTAAATAGTTAAATATTGTTTTGCTACATATCACCAAAGTCGTCCTTCTTAAAGTAACAATCCAATGGTATAATGGGACAAACATAAAGATTCGATCCCGGATCATATAAATAAGCCTGATTTAACTCATCCGATCCAAACCATCCAAAAACTTGTTTTAATTAATCCCAATAAAATATTTTGTAATTTGTATACAGCGCGGTAGGTTAACCTAATTAGGAATTGGACATTCAAAAAATTTCAAAATGGCGTCTTACTGTCATAAGGTTACTTTTTTTACAATGGGATGTCATGTCATTATAAATGTCTTTTAAAACAAGAATTAAGTAACTTATTTTTGAGATTCTTGTGGAAATTAGCATTTGCATTTAAAACGTGTTATTTTTGTAATGACTTCATTTACTATAATAGTCGCCGCGGCGAATGTTTTCCGCTGCGTCAACAATTTCAAATATCAAAAACCGGTTTGTCGACATACGTTCGGTATCCCACATACGCCGCGGCGACTATACCTACAAAGAAAACAGCAAATTGTACAAATTGATGGAAAACATTCGCCGCGGCAACTATATCAGACTTCTTGGCGAAATAAAATGTGACCGTTTGGTAAAAGTATTATTTTTTTTATTTCATCCTAAGTGGTTGCATATAACAAGCTTCAAAACATCTATATAGGGCTTTTGAACATTTTGTTTTTACCTAGAATTTTAAATTTCCAAAATTAAATTGATAAATGTTGATAATAATAAAATGCGTTTTTTGTTATCGTTTCGAATTTCCTGCAGTACATGTACAGAATCTGAAAAGTAAGTAGCTTGCAAAGACCCTTTTAACGATGTTCCACATGATCGCACTTCCGATTTAAAAAATGTAACGTCGCCATTTTGAAAATTTTTCAATTTTTTTTTTGTCAAAAAGTAGTATTTAATGTCTAGTTTAACATACTACAATTTCCAAATCCTAACCTACCGGTTCTAAAAATAAAAGGGGGTAGTTTTTACGTCCACATTACGTAGGTTTCAAGATTTTTTTAGTCAAATGGAGTTTGTTGTCTAAATTAAATTAAAAGATACAAATTGTTAGATAAGTTTAATTCCTATTAGAAAGAAATATAAAACAAAAACATTTAAAAATTAGTTTTAAATGAATTTTAAATGACACGACTATAGGAAATAAACACCGTCTGGGAATTCAAAAAAAAAGATTAACGAGGTACATCTGTCACTTTAAAGAAAAAATATTGTGTGCGTATTTTATTATGTTTTTAAAAAATGCCTTTAAAATTCTGGGTTTCCATCGACATTGCCAGCCATGAAATGTCACTGAATCTGGAGACTAAACGATCATTTCTAATCCAATGTTCTCGAGCAAAAAATATTGGATTATGTATCGTTAAGAAGTTTCAGTAAAAACATCATACAATTTTGCATTGTAAATATTAAGGCCTTTTATAAATCTTCCTAGAGTTGACACCCCTTTAATATGTTTTGTTAATCGCGCATATGCTTCTGAGAATGTTGCGAAACAAAAAGTGGTTGCATCAGTTTTTTACCATAATTTCCAAGACATTTTAAGAAAATACAGTATAACGAACATACAAATAAATGTTTCTACCTTTTCCAGTTTTTTATACGCCTACTCCAAGTGTGGGCATAATAATTCACCGCCCATCCTGTATATCATGTGAATTTTATTTTCTTTGTATTATGTTTGTCTTAGTTCTGGAATTAATAAACGCATTTTGAAACTATAGTTATACCTTCATTTTAGGATTTTTATGGAAAAATGACAACGCTTAAAAATTATTTTTAAAAGCCTTAGTGAAAATTGTTATTGTTCAAAATATTATTACCAATAATTTTCTGCGCATCAATGGTTACTGTTTTATTTTCTCCGTGCAGTATTTTTAATTTTTATTTAAGTACCTAAATGATGAATTGCAAACAAAGGTGCCTGGGTGACCACTAAAATAAAAGGTATTAATTTGTCATTATAAATATTAAATTAAAATTTTAATATTAAATATTTACATAAATTAATGTTCAAATATATAGGTATTATTTGAATAAAATCTACAAAGCTAATTTAACCATAATAATAATTTGAAAAACCGAATTATAATTATTTACAGCAATAGCTAATATCCATTTTGGAGCATTTACGATTGCTTGTACTTATTAATAAATTTTATTATTTACATTATTTATTTAAAAACAAATAAAATAAAATGTTTATAGTTAGAAAAAGTTTTGTAAATTTTCACAACCTTTGCTGAACAAATATGTTTAAATGATTTATTTGTGCGCTTAAGTCATACAATTATCTCAACAATAACAAGGTATATTAAACTATGATTTAAAGAGCATCCCTCTTATTCACATTGCCAAAACCAACTGTTCTCGTATATATTTTAAAATGAGCTATCTAAATAACATATTATGCATATTATAATAAAAAATTGACCTAATTTAATTAAAATGTAATTTCTGAAGTAGTTATATATAAGATTGTGCCTAAGATTCGCAATAATATGCCCTAATCTAGTCATGCATTTAAAAACTTTAATAGATTTTGAACTTAGTTTTACGTCATGAAAGGCGTATTCATCACTGTTGGTCTTAGATAATTATACATATTAAAAATGTTATTCCACAAACACGTTGGATGTCATATACGTATAAAGAAGCAATGGTTAAAATGTAATTGTTTTTAAAATGTCGTTGTTTTACAGCAGGTAATTCAAAGCATGTTAACAGTGAATAACAAATTTAATTTATTTCAAAAAAGAATTGTATTTATTAACAGGATGGTTAGAGAAATGGCAATGTTAAAATACGTTAAGGTCCAAAGTCGAGATTTTAACGATAAATCGACAAGGGAACGGATTTTGAAAGACGATGTGCTCTGCATTGAGCCATATTATAATATCACCGTACTTAATTTTACTAAAGCTGTCCAAAAATACGACTTACGATCGCGCTCATTCATACTTAATACTGGGTAAATATTACCACTGATTACAATTAATATGTAAAGTGTCCAAAAAAACTGTAAAGCTTCCATACTATTACACAAAAGTTGTGCATTTATAAGCTGCAGAAACACTGTGGCGAAGGCTGTCATAGTGAATATATTTTTTAAACGATGTTGATTTCCATCCTCATGGGTATATTTGCCCCAGCTAAACCCCACGCATGACCATGAGGAGGAAATCCTAGATCATTCGATCTCGTGGCTTTCCATGAAGTGAGTGCGCACTTCTAGATGTGCTGCTAAGTCCAAAACCAAATGTTGCAATGAAGGATGTTCTAATAATTCTGCTTCAGGCAAGGGAGGCTGGCAACGTGGTCGGTACTGACGACCTCTGAAAGCTCGGTGCAAATGAAGGACAATGTCGCAAAATACGTAACGAAGAAGTAGCAGTCGCAAAAAGTCATCTCCAAAAAATTGTAAATATGAAGCTTCTGAAATAACAAATAAAATTTAATATTTTTTTAGTCACGGTCTGAAGTTGACTTTATTATAAATTAGGAAAAAGTGAGGTTAAAAATGTTTGATAGATATGTATAAGATGTCAAATGTTAAACAAATAAAATTGGCTTTAAATTCTGGAAAACATTATCTTATTTTGTCAATTCCTTATATAATTGCACAATCCACACAACAAGGTCTGTTCGATCTCGTAGTAAAAATACTAAAAATCACTGCAACACTGCACATCATACGATGGCGGCCATTTTTGTTGTTTACAATTGAGGAGCATCCGTGCAAAACCGGCTAAATCCATTTTATTCAGTTTTTGTTTTTTTTTGATTTCGCATCTTTGGGTTCATTTCTATCGGCAACCAAGATAATTTTGTTTAAATTCAACTATATTCATGTTAAAATCACATTTAAAAGGTAGCTTTAGGAGCAAAACCGGCCAAATCCACGTTTTTATAGCAAACCCGGCCATATCCAATAAATAATAATGATGATGAGCAAGTGGCTTGGATATGTCGATACTACTACTAAAATTTGTTCTGTTTTTTCATGTTTGCACTAAATTTATTTTGTTAATATTTTTGAATTATAAAGTTTTTTTTTCACATTTTATTCATTTTTTATTCGGTTTTTAAGCAAAACCGGCTATATACAAAACATTTTTTAAAATTTTGGCCTTAATATAAAGTTTTTGAAAACGAAAGTATGTCTTATAAATCAAGTACTACAAAGCCCACAAAACTCAAGTTTGCATTTTCTTTTATCTGTAAAGGCCAGGAAACCGAGAGTTTTTGCCATTTTCCCAACATTTTATTAAAGTGGATATAGCTGGTTTTGCACGGCAATTCTTGTGCTTTGGGTTTGTACAGATTAATAATTGTTTTAAACGTTGTGTTTCTTACAGAGAGAGACTTGCAAGCCGTAAAAAATAAACCTTATTCTATCAGGGCAGACAAATGTCAATTTGAAGGTTAATTTAAGGTTATTTTATAACCCACAAATTAACCTTCAAATTGACATTTGATAGAATAAGGTATACTTTTTACAAAAGAGGAGTAAAATGATTGTTCTTACCACTTTAAGGTCTCTTTTAAGGCTTGTAAGTCTCTGTAAGAAACACAACGTTTAAAACGATTATTAATCTGTACAAACCCAAAGAAAAAGAATTGTAAACAACAAAAATGGCCGCCATCGTATGATGTGCAGTGTTGCAGTGATTTTTAGTATTTTTACTACGAGATCAAACAGACCTTGTTGTATGGATTGTGGATAATTGTTCAATATCCTGTTATGTAAATACTAACCATTAAAGTAATAAAACAGCCATTCCACGTTACTCCTCAATTTTTGTAGGGTACGTAATAATAAAAAATTGTGAGTAAAAGCTACCGTAACTAAATTAAATACTATCTCAATAGTTACAATTACAAGCATGTTAATTAGGTTAGCTACAAAAATTTAGAAATAACGTGGAATTAATACATAGTAGGCAATGAGTGCAACGAGTATGAAGTTTGCTGCCCGAGCGAAGCAAGGCCAACACTCACACCAATTGCATTCATTGCCTTTCTGGCCGAGTTATGCACACTATTTTTCACAATACCTTTATCAAAAGATATAGAATACACAAATTAAAACAATTTTGACAACTGAATAACTTTTGTCAAAGTAGAACGCTTGAAGTTGGCATCGCATTCGACCAATCACGCGCAGTTAAATTATGTTTTCATCTCGCTATGTCTACTTGTTAACATGAGTTTGTAGTTAGTTAATTTTATTTTGTAAAATTTTTACAAAATTTTTTGTATACAACCTGGGTTTGTAATTATTTTAACAAAGGAAAATACTTTACCGAAAGTTTTGTAAAGGTAAAATGCAATTTTGGTAAGCATTTTGTTAATTTCAAAGGTACAGATTATTTTGTTAATGTTTAACAAATTATTCCGTTGAAAAAGTACACGTGATTTCATGCAGCTAATCAAAACATTTCCAAGCACAACACACTTATCAACAAGTTGTGTCAGCGTCAACGGGTGTTAATTTATAATATTTAACGGTGACAGGAGTGTTTATATTGTCATTATTGGTTTTCAAATTAGTTTTAGTAGTACTGATAGTTATATTGTACCAAATTTCTATATAATCTGATGATTTCAGAATGGTGTGTTATTTAATTTTGTGTACCGATGTTATTTTTGTTTTTCGGAAAAGTCCTAAAGTGAAAATTTACCTTGTGTTCATTTATGTAGGTAGGTATGTGTTAATTATGTTTTATTTAGAAAATTGTTTAATAAAGCAACATTTCTTATAACAAATTTAAAATAAAAGAATTATGGTTGAAATTGAAATGGAATTTTGTTATTAAATCTACAAAATATCTGTAATAATTACAAACTACTTATTCAATTACTTAACAGATTACAGTTGGTTGTAAACTTATTAAAAAGTTATGTACACCTGCATTAACATAAAATCTGGTTATTATTTGGTTAACGTAGCGTAAATTATTATTTTTTGTTTGTTGACTACTTTTACGCGATATCCAAACAGTGCAGATATAAGTTCTATAAGTGTAGGGTTTCTATTCGCAAATTTTAAAAACCAGAATTTGAAGGTGAAAATACCATGACATTATGGTTTAATTATTACTTACCAACTCTCGATCTAGTAAACAACCTAGACGCTTCGGTAACAAACCGGTCAACAAAACTTTGACACCGTTCCCAATGATGAATGGGAATACTAGTAAGGTTGCAGCAATAACAAAAGGCTGTTAGTGGCGAATGTAGGAACAATGTAAATAATGAACCATTGTGCTGTTGATCTAAAAAAATAAATTTAATGGTTTAGGTATCAAGTAAATTATTATTTTACTTAAGGTTAATTACTTATTGGGTTAATTCTATACCAATGTATGACCCGGAATAACGAAACCTTATTATAAGAGGCATAATCTCACAATTAAAACGTCATTAAGCCTAGACCTTAATAATACCAATCGATTTAATTGACTTATTTTGGTGCTGTACCAAGTGAATTTAAAAACAACTGTGCATATTTAAATACTTATTATGTTGGTTCAATGTAATTAAAAAAATAAATAAATTAATGCAATTTTGTTTAGATGGATTAAATCGACTTATTTTGAGACTTTATCAGCTTCCAAATATTGAAATGTCAGTAGAACGAAGAGAACTAGAACTACATCAGTACCAGCAACAAGTTGTTTTATTTTCAGTTGATTAAGGCCAAATATAACTAAATCTATTGTGCCAGCCTGAATGGGAAATTCCTGGTGTCTTTATAATCCCAGATAGCAAACGTGAATACGAAATCACGCGTGAGTGAATAATGTGTGCTATATGTTTTCACACGTGAAGTCTTGAACTCGTAATTCACACGTGAGTTGATTATGAATTCATATTATAGTCTCGTGTGATTTAATCGACTTTATTTTAAAATACATGGATTGCATGATTAAAAACTGCACGTTTAAATATAAATAGAATATTAATATTCTAATATCAAAATATTATCTGACGCGCGAATTTTGGAATTATTATTTTAGTTACATTTTTAAAATTCGCCCAGCTCCATTGCGCAATTATATAATATATTAAGTTATAAGTAGTTATATTATATAATTATATATTATTATATATTATTATAATTATATATATTATAGTAATATATATAATTACATAATATATATTGGTTTAAAAGGACACAATTATATGTTATAGGTACATTACAGTGGCGTAATAAGCACCCCCGCAGACCCCGCACCGCGGGGGGGCCCAGACGGTCAGGGGGCCCAAGGCTCACCTCACTCTTTAAAAGTTTAAACCAATGAATTAAAGAAATATTTAATTTTTTAAATATTTCATCTTAAAAAAATTAAAAATCCTAAAAACCTAAACGTATAAATATTTTTTGTTTACAATATTTATTTAATTCGTTGATTTTGAACATGCGCGAGAAATAAAATGCGGTTGTAGCGCCATCTATTAAACGCTTTTCCAAATGTTAATATTTGCTAAATTAACAATGTTATTTGTTATATTTTAATTCTATGGTTATTTGGTTTAAAAGTTATGCAAGCATTATTTGTTAAAAATAGTTAAAATTTAACAATTTAAAAAAAATTAAATTAAATGCAATACGACAAAATATTAACTTTATAGAATTACCATGGTGGATAAAGAGGCAACCAAAATTAATTATATATTTTCTGTTTTACTACCAAAAATTGCAGATACAGGCTGTATCTGCAATTTTTGGTGGTTAAACAGAAAATATTTAATTAATTTTAGTTTAAAAAATCTTATTATATATACCTTTTTATTTGCAGATCATTTTCGTAATTCTATAATATAATATAATATAATATATTATATCTCATTGGGATTCTTTTAAAAAATATTTAAATAATAATTACCCAAATATTTTCTGTTTATTATATAGGTAGGTAATTATAATTCTGTTAACAAACGATAACTACACATGAACTTAAATAAGTTTTTACGCATGTGCGAATTTGCAAAGAAGCATATTCTCGATAAACAGTTTTTATTAAAATCACAGCCATTTTTCTTACCTAATCCTTTTTTATTTGCTTATCTTATGTGACATAAGTTATGCCTGTCTATCGTATACACATTTATCTACCTGTCAAAAATTTTAACTAAAAAATATTATGTATTTAATGTGGGTTTAAAAGTACTATGATAAACTAATTTAAAAATTACCTAAAGGTAATAAAAAACTTTTTACTCATTGTAAAGGGGGCCCATTAAAATCGCTTGCGGGGGAGCCCACTCAGAATTTGTTACGCCACTGGTACATTAATAATTAATATATGTATATTATATATTAATTAATTAATTAATTAGTTAACCTTAAGGTTATAATTGTAATGTATAACCTATAATTGAGGAGCAATCAACCAAAACCAGATAAATCCATTTTGACTTCTTGAATGATTTATATTTCTTTTAGTCGGATAAATCAATTGGAAAAGTGAATTTCAAGATAAACTTATTATAATAATATATATATTAATATTAGTATATAATATAATAATTATTATATAATATTAATATTATGATCAAATCATATTATGATAACAAGTTTAGCTTGAAATAGATATTTCCAATGGATTTATCTGAACAAAAGAAATAGGAACCATTCAAAAAGTCGAAATGGATTTATCTGGTTTAGTCTGATTGCTTCTCAATTATGGCCTTTTAAACCATGCTTGCAAGTTTTTGTGTATTTTTTTAAGATGTTAAAAAAATATTTCGACAGATTAAATTATTTTGAAAAATGAAATCCATATTCTAAAAGCGCATGCGCAAAAAATAAAAAGTTCACGCGTGATGGCAAATTGAGCCTTTTAAACCATGCTTGCAAGTTTTTGTGTATTTTTTTAAGATGTTAAAATAAATATTTCGACAGATTAAATTATTTTGAAAAATGAAATCCATATTCTAAAAGCGCATGCGCAAAAAATAAAAAGTTCACGCGTGATGGCAAATTGAGCATCAATTGAGGACTCATCTGTCGCGTTATATGAATTCACGCGTGAATTTAATTTTCACGCGTGAATTCGTAGTGAATTCATAGTGAATTCATTTTGCTATCTGGGATAGTTTAATCTTAGATAGAAGATCCTCATTAACTGTGTAGAATGTATGGATGATATTTGCAAAAAAAGTAGAATGGTTTTTGAGATATAGTCAATTTTCCATTTAATATGGAATTGGCTATATCTCAAAAACTGCTCCACTTTCATAATTTTTGACGGAATTTTCGGATTCAGGGGAAAATTTTACATAAGAATTGGCTATTAAATTTTGGCATACCATGGTATTCCATGGTTAACCATGGTACAAGTGAAAAAACAGCCATGGCAGTGCACTAATAACTATTAAATTAGTCATTTTTGACTAATTCATTTTTAGAGAGATTATTTTCTAAAATTTTCCCAAAATTTAACGGGTGCGACATTTGAACATTTTATCGAGTATTAAAACTCTTTCGTGTTTATTCTTAATGTTAGCTTCTTATGCTATAGCATCACAATGTACGAATATTTGAAGGTTATACATTACGTCACAATTTAACTATTTGACTTCAGATATATATTTACTTTAGATATATATTTGTTAAATAACGCATCGAACTTTTTGTCAAGGTGGGGTAAGGTTTCGCGGAAATACCCTCTTTTAATTAAAAAAATGCACACACAGATTTTAAACACGATTTAAAATTACCTTGAAACGCTGGTGGTGTATCCTGTGGCGACATAAGCGTTACTAAGGGTTGTCCAAAATATCGTGGAATATGTTGGAAAACGAAACTATTATCAGAATCGACGATAACAAATAAAGGTCTCCTCGTGAATGGATACAAATCACCAGGATACAGGCAGTGAGCTTCTTTTTGTTTTTTATGTTCTCCGTCTCTTTTGCTACTAGTTAAAACACCACCAAGATCGTAACCCACTAAAATAATTAGAGAATTACATACATAAAACTTTATTTTAATTTTAACTTACTGTCTTCTGGATGTTTTGTTGTTGAAAAACAACCATCGGCTGATAAGTATAATAGTAAAGCACCATTAACTGGTAGTTCCTTAAAACCGCTCGCCAAAAACACAAGAACTTGACTTAGTGTAGGTTTGTACAAAAGATATTTGTGAGGATTCTCTCTTTTTCCTGGCCTATCGCCGTTTTCTATGTAGCTACAATAATTTTTATAGTTAATGTGGTTGGCATATTTTATATGAATAATGTTTACCCTTTTTGTCCCGGAACTCCATAAGGAACTCGTACTGGAGCAGGTGAAGCATCATAAATATGATTATAATCTTCTTGAGGCTCCCTTTCTAATGTTTGTACCATTCTAAACATATCCATTGTAAGTTCCGAAAATTTTACTTGTTCGGAAGCGCTACCTACTATTAAAATTTCTTGCAATGTTAAATTCATATACTGTGATTTCTCTACTGGCGGTGTAGTGAGCGGACTTAATCTGAAATTTTATAAAAAAATACATTGAATAATTCATTTTTTATTTAGATAATTAAAATTGGAAATAATTTTTGGCATTTGTCTTGATTTGGGGCCTTCTATAAATCTCAAGACGCTCGACGCCCGAGGGTGTGAGGGTTTTTCAAAACGGTACGAATGAAATTGCTTATTTGTTTCACTTTTAGTCAGCTTATAATATATTACCTATTATATCGAGTACAAACAAAAATCGGTTTAAAATTTAGAAAGTAAAAAGGCTAGATAATCTGAATATGGAAAAATTCGTACAAAAAACTTACTCCCAGAACTCGAATAAGACAGAATGCATAATATGACATTCCATATCACATTGTCATGTCATTGGAAATCCGAGGCCTGTCATAGCAAATCCGACAATCTCCACTTTTGGTCAAAAATTAGATTTTTGGCGGAGACTGTACTAATTATCTATAAGGTGATGAAGCGGAACGTTTTATCTTATTTCGCTAAGGATAACTGTAATGTGTTAACGTGGTACGCTACCGATCCCATAGGTGTCACTTGCAGTCCTTTTAAAAGTTTTTAGTTTTTGTGCCTTCATTGAAAAAACATTTGTATAATTACGCTTCTTAAACAGTTGACTGCTGTGAGCTTAAACTAAATTAATTATATTTAACTTATATAATAGAATTTAACGTGGCCTGCGTCAGGTATGTAACTATTATTTTTCCAAGCTGTATTTGTACTAATTGCGGCGTTAAGCTGTTTTAGTTAATAAACACCACGTGAATTTGTAAAAGTGGTTTGGATTCTCGTACAAAAAACCTTCCTCAGCCAATCCGAACGGTCCTGTTACATCTTGGCGCCCAACTAGAGGCCCTTACAGGTAAGATGAACCCTCCATCACACACGTACAACACCCGTCAGGCAAGTGCAAGGAGGTTAAACATGGATAACCAAGATACGCCGGTAGGAGGATTATCTAACTTGTCATCCAACATCATACAAGGTAGGAGTTTTTCTCTTAATACGAACAACACGGCGTCAGATTTACATCCATCGCGAGAACCGCAGGCACCCCGGTTTAATGCAGAGGCGCCGCCATATCTGCAAAACCAAGCGCCGGCTCAACCACAATATCAAGTACAATACCATCCGCCAACGTGGCGAGCAGAGGATTTAGCGAGGCTGGTTACCGAAACGGTAACTACAACATTAAGGGAGCTTAATATCAACGCGACTAATACCTCAAACAGCGATTCAAATAGTTCTCAAACACCTTTTAAGTTAGCATGGGAACTATCGAAAAAACTGCCTGTGTTTGACGATTCCGTGCATCCCATGGAATTTTTGCTGGATTTGGAAAACGGTTTTGAAGTACATAATATGTGTTATGACAAGTTTTCTTTTCTTGTAAAAAAACAATTAAAAGGACCAGCAAGTACCTGGGCGTCCGCATATTTGGGTACGTTTAGGGATTACAGGGAGTTTAGAAACGCGTTCATAGATCAATTTTGGGATGATAGAAAACAGTTATCCTTAAAAGTAAAACTTGAAACTGACAGATTTAAACGCGATGAATCACTTGTGGAACATTTCAATCGGTATGTGTCAATGTCAAGATATTTTGAACCCCCTTACACGCAATAGTAATTTACGTTACAAGGCCGGGAAATGGCTTATTAAAGTACGAGTCTAGATGTTTACCGACGAGGCGACGAAGGAGCCGAGTCTGGAATTTCTAGACAAGTACTTTAATGACATTTCACGGCCGTGTATCGTACAATGTTTTATTTCATACTATTCAATATTTTTTTCAAATTTTTGGTACAAAAATTGAACTGTATATTCAGGTGAAGGTGTCAGTAATGTGTCAGTACATGATGGTATCAGTATTGTCTAAACAAACTATAAAATGTAGCACCAGTAATATAGGGTGATAATGTAGTATGCTTTAAATCGGTTGCTAACAGTAACAAAGAGTTTTTTTTATTGATTGTCTTGTCTGTCAGTTCAGCATCGTTTTGAATCTGTGGTTTTGAATAATTTCGAATAAAATGGATGCAGAGATTTTGAAAAAAAGTTCTGAAGCGACGGCGAAACTTATCCAGGTCAAGTCTTCCGGACGATATCAAAAGGAATACGAGATATTCTGTAAATGGCGCAAAAACTTATAATCGTTCAGAAATAACCATGTGTTAGTTAAAATATACGAGTCCGGTAAAGTTACTTTACCGGCCTAGTGATGTAATGTATCATTTCCCGGACTCAAATGAGTCCGGGAAATGGCACATTAAAGTACAGTATGAAATAAAAAAATATTATCAACCTTATTGCGCGTCACTATCCGCCTAATATAGCTACCTTACTAGTTGGGGTTGATAATTTTACACTTGCGCTCTCTAGGCTGAGAGAAGCTGATTTTTTCTATCAAGATCGACCGGCCCCTACGCAGTACGATAATAGGGCTGTCCCGTATGATAATAATAAACCGGGCCCAAGTTCAAATATTCCCGCAAAAAGGGTTTTTGAAAAATATCCTAGAAAAAACGTGTCAGCTTTGGATTTTGAACAACCCGGTACAAACGAAGTAGTATCGGAAAACGAGTAATTTTTTCACCATGTGGTTCGGAGGTGGAAAAAATTAATTTAACGAACCACGTAGATAATACCAATATACTTCAAAAGCCTGATTTGGATTTAGTTAACTCGCCTGATAATTTAACCGAGGAGGGCACCACGAAACATGACAATGTTTTGCACAGGTCACCCGTTGTACAAATTAATATTTTTGGTTTTAACTTTGCCGCGTTGGTCGACACCGGTTCGCAAATTACATGCTTTTCGGAAAATATATGGCAGCAGTTAACTGACTTTCATCAGTTTATGCCAAATTTCCCGTGTACCGGGGTACGAGTAGTGGGTGCATTTAAAAGCAAACAAAGAAAAATTTTAAGGCAATGTTTTGTTAAATTTAAGCTTAATGATTTTGAATTTGATAACGAGTTCTTAATAATTTCTGATTTAGTTTTCCCGGTTATTTTGGGCATTGACTTTCTACGGAAAGTTCAAGCAAATGTCGATGTTAAAAATAAAAAAATCCAATGTAAATTTAATGATCAGTTCGTGGATATTCCCGAATGTTTACCGGACGGGAATTTTTACGAACAGGAAAATGTAAATATAAGAGTTATTTCACAAGAAAGTACTAGTAAAATGTTTCAAATATCAGCGCAAACTTTTACAACGTTGAATATGGCCGATGCTATTGTTAACGTTGACTTAAACGAACAACAACAAAATCATTTTCGGAATTTATTGATAGAAAATAATAATATTTTTTCTATGAAGCCCGGTTTAACAAAATTGTACTACCATGAGATTAAACTGGTTACGGATAAACCTATTTTTACAAAACCTTACCCGGTGCCCATTCAGCATCGGCAAGCGGTTCAAGATTTTATTCGGGACATGCTAAGTTTAAAAATAATCGAGAGGGCTTCAACGCCTTTTGTGTCACCGCTTATGACCACATTAAAAAAGGACGGAACTGTACGGTGTTGTTTGGACGCGCGCCGAATTAACGCAGTCATGCAAAAGGATTACGAGCGGCCCAAACCAATAAGCGAAATTCTACGCACTATACCGGGTGTACGCTACTTATCATCACTTGACCTAACCAGTGGGTATTATCAAATACCTCTAACGGAGGAATCCAAAAAATATACCGGTTTTATGGTAGGCACCACCACCTATCAGTTTCGCGTACTGCCGTTCGGAATTTGTACAGCCGTATCGTCGTTTACTAGGTGTATTGATTCTTTATTTGGCTACGAATTTCAGGAGTTCATGGTCGCGTATGTAGATGACATATTGGTAATGTCGGCTACGTTTGAAGAACACCTCGCTCACTTGAGAAAAATCTTCGCGCGGTTAAGGGAAATTGGTTTTACCTTGAACTTAAAAAAATGCTGTTTCTTTCGTAAAGAATTAAAGTTTTTAGGTTACATACTAAACGAAACCGGTCTGCGGCCGGATCCGGATTGCATTCAAGCCATAAAAAAATACCGAGCGCCCTCCAATGTAAAGGAGCTGCAACGTTTTTTAGGTTTAGCTAACTTTCAACGAGAATTTTGTCCGCAGTTTGCCTTAATTAGTGAACCCCTCACTGGTTTATTGCGAAAAGGCACCAAATGGAGGTGGAGGGAAGAACAAAGTCAAGCGTTTGAATCGTTGAAAGAGCGCATTGCTGAGTCCACATTACTCTCCCATCCTAATTACAATTTCCCCTTCCACGTAATGATTGACGCAAGTGACGTTGGTCTTGGTGCACATTTGTACCAGATGATCGGTAACGAGAAACAAATTATAGCATGGGCCAGCAGATTGTTGCTACCGCGAGAGACGCGGTATAGCAGTAATGAAAAGGAAGTTTTGTGTGCGGTTTGGGCATTGGCCAAATGGCGCATTTATCTTTTGGGCAAGGAATTTGTTGTTCTTACAGATAATAAGGCCCTAACCTACCTTAATACTGCTCGTTTGTTATCGGCGCGAATAACCAGGTGGGCATTGGCTTTGCAAGAATTTACTTTTACACTGGAACATGTTCCCGGAAGTCACAACCTAATATCGGACACGTTGTCTCGTTATGCTTGCGCAGAGTTGCCCAACCCTAATGAAAACTGTTTTAAAATTCTAAGTTCCCTAAAATTATCGAAAGAATTTTGTAGCTCGCTTAAAAATGTTAAAGATGTTCAAAAAAACGACAAAAAACTCATTCATATACGGGAAAACCTGGCCAATGATGATAAATTAAAGAGCCGGTTTATGATCTTTGATGAATTGCTATATTATAGAACTACAAATGAGGAACCATATCTTTTATGCGTACCGCAAAGTCTTGTTAAGGATTTTTGTGAGGCTTACCATGTCGCTATTGGACATTTCGGGGTCTACAAGACTTGGTTGGCCTTAAAGGCAGAGGTCTGGTGGAGTAACATGTATCGGGATATTAAAAGAATT